ACCTAGGACAGACCCGCGAGAGGCGAGAGAGTGATTTTTGATTTATGCCGGAGAGAAGGGAGTTGCAGTAATCTAGTCTGGATTAGGTATATCCATAGGTATGGTGTTGGGCCCATTGACAGCTGTTTCCATCGGTAGGAGAAACAGTCAACCAACCAGAGCTTCGTAGGCAGGATGGATAAAGGTGACATCGTCCTCCCCCATACTGTAGCTTGCTACGTTGCTGCATCCATAGCAACAGAAAAACGGTGTGTGAATGAGATCGACACTGCTGAAAGTTGTCAGTCCACTCAGTGTATTTCTTTGATTGTTATGAAATCTGCACTGAGCAACTGCTTACAGCTCTGTGGTGACTGAAGGTGATTGAAATGTATGTGTCACTCAAGGTTGGGGAATAACAAAACAAAACAAATCCCCCTCTTGACAAGAATTCCGTTGTAGGGCAAACCACATCTCTTATTTTACCTCTCCTGTCTCCTTTCACAGGTACTTCACCAACATATCTATTGGTGGGCGGGACTATTCCTTCAACAGTGACGGTTACCTGTCCAAACCGCTGCTTGATGTCATCTCCTACACCAATGGCAGAGGCTGGGAGGAGGTCAGTACACTGCTGTGCAAGCTGGCACTAATTATCATAGCGCAGCGGCTAGACTGGCTAACCGCAATTTCACACCCCATCAAACAAGCTAACTCATGACTGCTCAGTTTCACCTTTCTGCTGTCTCACTGTCTCTGTGTCTCCCCCTCTCGCTCTCTCAGATCTAATTAGATCTCCCCTAAGCCCCCTCCCCTCCTCCTTCTCTCTTCTTCACCCTCTACTCTTCCGTATGGGTTTGTCAGACTTGTTAGCCAGCGCTAACTCACAGTCCAATATCCTCTCTGGCAGGGGCCATGTGTAGCAGTCGTACAGTAATAGCACCAAATCCAAGATCTGCCCTCCGAGGGCACTTTCAATTCCTCAAGACTCCCTTCAACCTAAGAAAAAAACACACGTAAACCTTTTTGTTCTATCCTGCTGTGTTCAATTTGCTTTTGACCTTTCATGACTCAATATGTTTACTGGTGAGTGCAGACTCAAGGCCCCCCTCATCTTAAGGATGATAACCAAACAGGAAAAATCGACCTTTGAAAGAAAAAAAAACATTGCTCTAACCGTACAGCATCAGTGAGCCCTTGGATTTAAAAGTGTTTGTCGTTCTTCACCTTCCTGTCAAAGCTGAGCTTCCTCGTAAAGGTGCAGCGCTATACAGTATTTTAGCGTGGCTCTATAAGAGAAGGATGAATAAACGATTCAGATTAGAGTGCATTAAGAAGGAATTAAGGAATAAGTAAACTCAATTTATGTCAAATGTGTCTCTAAGCAGGATTCCTGTGTGCTCTACACCTGCCTAGCAGGCTGAATCGCAACATATGCAATACAACCAAAAGTATGTTGATGCCACTGTTTACTGTATGTTCGCTCATGGGCTCTTTTTCGTAGTTTGGGACAGTTCCAGTTGAGGAAATCCTATTGCTGCATCATACAATGATATTCAAGACAATAGTTTTCTGTTTCTTGTTTAAACATGACAGTGCCCCAATGCACAAAGTCAGGTTCATCAAGAAATGGTTCTCCCAATTTGCTTGACTACCCTGCACAGAGCCCAGGCTTCAACCTCATCCAACACGTTTGGAATGAACTGGAACGCCGACTGTGAGCCAAACCTTATCACCCAACATCAGTGTTGGACCTCACTAATGCTCTTGAGTGGGAGCAAAACCCTGCAGCCAGGTTCCAAAATCTTACGAAAAAGCCTTACCAGAGGGCTATAGATATAGATTAAAGCTAATGGTTTTGGTATAAGATGATCACAAATTAATGTAATGTTCTGTTCCATTTTTTGTTAAAAACTTTGTAATTGCAACAACCTTTTTCTAAAAGGCAAGTGCCTTAAAACTGCATAATGTGAACAATCAGCAGGGAACTAGTAATAAACCATGGAGATTGTCAAAGTAACATGACAGCACTTGATGTCAAATTGGTCAGTTGTAGATTCTTATTTTACCATTGCTTTGTCACCAGTTTCAATCCCTCTCAGTGTCACATGGTGACTCTTTGATCTGAATTGGCCTCTAAATCCCCATTAGCTTGTCAATGCCACATAATATTTCTCCTCTGGACTTTCTATACAATTCTGACTTACTGTTGACAATCTGCATCTGAAAAACATTCGACTCAATAGTCATATTTGAGGGGGGGGTTGCAGAATTTTCTACATCATGCATGCTACGATCTAAAATTGACCTCAATCTTGTTTTGCAGAAGATAACAAGCCTCAAAGCAAGATCCCGATCAGGGGAAATATAAAAATTACTGATGATACTTTACGTTTAAAACCTGACAAATATGCAGCACTCATGAAAAATAAAAGCGCTGCCTCTTATCATTTGATTGCTGAACAAGGGGCATTTATTTTTGGACAGTGTGAGCTATTTTATTCATGTTTTTAAGTCTTCTGTCCCTTACTCTGTCTTTCTGGTTTCTGAGTTCAACAAATCTAGCCTGTATTTCTTCTGGCAGTAGTTAACCTTAAAGAAGTTGCAGTAGCACAAGAGGCAGCAAACTGAAGACTACATCTGTGGGAAACATAGAACCGTTTTCTGCCCTTTGCTGATGTATCTTACCATTACTATATTGAATTTTTACTGAATGAAGACTGAGATACTGACAGAGGAGATAGGTTACTGTTTTGTACTCCACAGGTTTGGAAAAGATAGAAGGTAGAAAAATCGGCTATACAGCAGGCAGAAAAACTGACAGATAAGGGTTCACTTTGCACTGCTGCTCTCAAAAGATGACTCCTGTGCTGCTCTATTATATCTGATGTTCAGGTGAGTCAAGAAGGAAATCATCAGGATAGCCATGTCATGTATCCAACAGGAAATCCCCCTTTAGGATTTTACAGTATTTATGATCCCACTCTGGAACCAAACTGTGTATCTGATCTGGTTCATAGATTGCTGAAGGGTCAGAGCACA